CCTCTCACTCGACTGAGAAAACGAATCTGTCCAGCTTAGGAAGAGATGGAAGGGATGAATGACTCGACCAAATGAAATGTAGCCCAAGGAGGGGAATATCTAGGACACAATTCCGGGAAATGAAATCCGAGAATTGGATCATACCCTGGGAAATGAGGGTATTGGCATTGCGTTCATGAGACCATAGGGTGATGTTAAAATCACCGCCCAGACACTGGATAGGGTTAGGTAGAGCGGCTACTTGGTTGAGTTTGGACCAAAGTCGCAGTCTAAACGACGACGTGCAAGGCCCATAGACCGCCGTAAACTTCCAAGGTAAGCCATCTGTTGCTCTGTTGATCTTCAGGGTAACCGAAAACTCCCCTGTAAAAGAGGAGGAAAGCACATTTTCTGTAGGGTCCCAGAGGACCCAAATGCCTCCTGATGCTCCATTTGCAGGTAGGGCTACCCATTGGCAATGCCGCCTACCCCATACCTGGCGCACCAGGAGTAGAGTGGGGTCAGGGTTCTTTGTTTCCAAAATGGCTAGGACGGAAGGGCAATATTTAGAAGAGAGGTCTTTGAGGGCTGACTTTTTCTTAGGCTGACCTAGGCGTCCAATATTCTAGGAAACTAGCTTCATGAGGAGGAAGATTGGGATGGGAAGGGAGGGAGGCAGTCCTAGGGGATCGCTTCAGAGGGCAAACTTGAAGGGGTGGCCCTATCAAAGAGGGGTAGGGGACTGTAGGTGCGAGGGAGGAGAAAAGATTGAGGATTTCTCTCTTCCCTTTACAACCCACCTCCAACGAAAGACGAGGATTGGCGAGGGCCAAGCAGCTCACTGAACTCCCATGGGCCTGTGGCTGAAACCCCATAACCTTGTACATGGCGATCATTCTTTGGTGTTCTGGGTCCTCCTCGTCGACTCCTCGCCTGCCGGAGTCACCGAGGGGGGAGAGAGGGGCACGAAGAAGTTCGCAGTTGCAATGTCATGGCCATCCCCGTCGACCACCCCGTCAGCCACACAGGACGAGATGGGAGAGATGGGCACCGTGAGTTAAGCCGTCTCTGGATCGAGCAACTGAGGCGAAGAGGGGGGAAGCACGGGATAGAGATTGAGAGGAAGGGGGGGGGGAAGCGTGCTCAGTGGGGAGGGAGAGTGAACCCGAGAGGAGGGGGACTCAAGGGTAGTCAGAGCCATTTGGAGGGAGGGGTATGAAAGTTGTAAGGTGAGTTCTTGTCTTTGAGAGGGGGAAGAGGGAGGGAAAGGTGAACGTGCAAGAGGGAGGGGAAAAGATGAGGAAGGGGGGGGGGGGGGCATGGGAAGAAAGCAGGGCCGTTGGAGGAAGGAACTCCAGTGGTAGATCGTAGTGACAGGGTGAGATATGCAGAAAGGGCCCAGGCAGTGGTGACACAGGTGAACCCTTGGAGTTCTAACTACCACTGGGCGGGTACCTTGAGGGGGAACGATCTCAGGGTAGGCTTCAGCAAAATCATTATACCACAAGGGGACGGAGGGGTCCATGGAAGCGAAGGGGGATGCAGAGGAGAAGGTTTCGAGAGGGCTGAGTGGGAAGAAGGGGAGGGGCCGGAATGACGACGAGAGAGGGAGGGAAGAGCAGAGGGGGAACAGTAGGGAGAAACAAGAGGGGTGAGCCACCAAAACGGGGCAAGTAACAGGGCGGGGGAAAAGGGAAGAGAGGAAGAGAAAAGGTGGTTCAAGACCGGTAAGGACAGACCCTTTAGATGATAGTCCCGCATCCCAAGACGGGAAGACGCTGTGGGGGAGAAAGGAGAAAGGTTCAATAGGAAGAGGAGGGGCGGTAGGGGAAGGCTTGACCGAGGGGCCCGAAGGGAGTAAAGGGGGATAGCAGGTGGACAAAGAAGGGGGTGGTTCTGGAAAGGGTTGGAGAAAGGAGGGGAGGGAAAGAAAGGATGGAGGGGGGGAAAAGGGCTTGCCACGTGGGGCTGCTTGAGGGGGGAAGAGGACGGTTGAAGTAGCGGGGGTACAGGGGAAGGAGGGATGCCGACGGCAAGAGGTGAGAGGAAGGGGCAGGGGGGCAACGTGTGGCTGGGGGAGCCGCCACCAGCTGGATCAGAACCTGAGGGGTCAAAAAGGGGCAGCGCCTACTGCACAGCAGTGAGGGAGGAGGTAGGTGGGGGGGCCACATGAGCGACACGTGGCCAAGAAGGAATGGTGAAGATGCAGCTAAGGAGGAAAACTGGGTTGGGCACGCGTCTGGCAGGTGGGAGACAGGCGAAGAGAAGGGCGACGCATGGTGGGGGGAGGAGGGGGGGCCTCCAAGGCTTCTGCAGACAGCAGGGGGGAGCACACGTTCAAAGGCTGGGGTGCAGGGAGCTGACACGCTTTGTGGGAATGGCACACGTCCAACGTCGGAGCGGTGGGGGGGGGGCACGCGTCCAAAGGGGTGACCGAAGAGGGACACCTGGCGTGGGGTTAAGAGGAGGTGGTGAAATTTGAAAATGAAGGGCTCGGGTCGGCTGAGAAGCCTGGTGGAACCGTTTGGCCCAATATTGCGATCAAGGCTTGATCGATCGACCCGTAACCCCTCGGGTCAGGAGAAGACCGGTCGGGAGGAGGGGGATTACAGCTGAGATCTCACCGAGATGCCTTGTCCAGGGGCTGCGCCGCCTCTTCCATTGTCGACGTTTCTTGGCCACTAAAGACTACAAGTCCTGTAAGGTTGACGAAACCTTGGCAGGGGAGGAGTTGTGGAGAAAAGCAGGGGAAGGTGGAGAGGCGAAGGACCAAGAGACAGAGATGGGAAAGAAGAGGTTCTCCACCTGACGCCACAGGACCTTAGGAATAAGGAGGGGACCCCAAAGCTCAACGAGGACCCTCATCGACCCTCGGGGGAGCATTTTGAGAGAGATCCAATGGATCTGGATAAGGGACCCGCACACAATGGCCAGGCGTCGAAAAACAAAAGGGGACCATGCGTGGAGAGGAATGTGGTGGAAGGTTAACCGAACTCGTTGTTGCCTGAAAGACCCGTCAAGGGGAGACCAAGGCCTCAGAGAACAATGGGCACCTTTGAAGGAGAAAGAGGAAGGGTTTTGGAGGGCTAGAGATGAAGCGAGGGGAGAGGGGAAGGAGAAAAGGATCCCACGTTTGGAGAGAAGCCTGCAAGTCAGATCGGGCAACCCTCAGTGGGTTTGCGTCGCTTTTTCGATCCCCCTGATGTCTTGCCGCACAGGGCAGAAGGTTCCCACCAGAGAAGAGTGGAGCCACTGCTTGGAAGAATGGATCAGTTCTAGCTGAACCTCTACAAACGCTGGGGTGAAGGAAGGAGCGTGAAGACGTTCCGTGGGCTCAGGGGTAGAAGGAAAAGGGGGAGAGGAAGGTGGCGTAGGTTTCTCACCAGCAGCCACCACCTTAGAATAAGGTACCTTGAATTTGGGGCTCAATGAAGGAATGGTGGGAGGAACTACAAAGTGGGGGGATGGGGGAGAAGGTCTGGGGTAGAGAGCATACACCTCATCCCAGCTCTTGGGGAGGTGAGAGGACGAAAGACAGGAGGGAGCCATTTTTACTTTTTTAAGCATTGGTTGTTGGGATGAAGAGAGATCCCTTCAAATTAGGAACGCAACCCTATCTTTGGAGGAGTTGCGATTCCCTATCTATAGGGATCAAGATCCTTTATAGTCGAGGATCTTGA